ACCCCTGGCATTTTCATGACCTCGAATATTGCTTGTAAAGAAAATCCTAGAATTGAGTGTAGATCAAAAGTATTTGTGAATTCTTCCTTTTCTTCTATTTTCTTTTCTTTTTTTCTTTTTTTCTTTCTTTCTTTTTCCATTTCTTTTTTTTTTTTGTAGTTCAGCAGGGTACAGGACCTCTACCCATACTTAAGATGTCACATTGTGGCAATGCCACCATGACCAACAATCCTTGAGCTCATTCTTTCTTTCTTTTTATGGTGAGTATAAAGCAAATACCAAATTTTAGGTCGAAAAAATTCTTCTTTAAGTAGATCTTTCCTATGATTGGGGGCAGTATAGTGTAAAGGTTGATATTGCTAGCTTATAAAGATTTATAGTCAATTTTAACGAATTAGGCCTTGTAGGAATGAGTACAAAGCTAGGTGGTAAATGCCATAATATGGCATCTTGAGTTGTATTCCCACAATCGTAAAGACCAAATTGCTCGATATGGTCAAATATCATACATTTTGAAAAGAGGAACTATATATGCACCTGAGACAATGGCATCCTAAGATTGACAAGAGGCCATCTAATTTTTCTACAGTCAAATCAAATTGTTCGGAAACTCGAATTCCACACTTTTGTTTTTTGGAAATACTCGTGGTGCTTCTTGAATTGAAAAAAAAAACTCCTTCTGACTTGTATAGTTTGCTCTTGAATGCCCAATTTACAATTTATCATGCTTAAATTTCTCTTATGTGTCTAAGGGGCTATCACAATTTGCCCACTGAAACTATCATATAAGACTCAAGCCCCACTCCATCAAAAAAATACAAATAAGATTATTGTTTCTATGGGATCAAATTCGACATTTGCTCCTCAATCATAATCCTAGCAAGGAATACTTTCAGGACCCCAAATTTTGGAAATTTAATCTACTCGACCTAACAACCAACTAAAAAAAAAGACGAAGAAAAAGAAACTGAAAACACATTTCAATAATAAAAAAAGAAACCGAAAACACATTTCAAAAGTGCCTCCTTAGGATGAACACAGGCTACTCATTTTTCTGGGAAGTCAGGTTTAGTTATTCAAGATGTCAAAAATGTTCTCGTTTCTTTTTTAAATAACTTATTTAGTAATTCTAAAGTGAATTCCGAATTTTCATATACAAAAAAATATCCCCCAAAATAGTTCTTGCTCTTGAGGAAGTGTTGACTTTGCAACTATAAAAGGGTAGTATGGACCGCAAAGAAATAACATATAAAAACCTACATCTTACTCATAAATTACCGATGGAGATACTTAATCCAGCACAATAGATACTTATCTTAAACCAAAAATGCCTTCTCAAGCTTGCATACATTACCATGCTTCTATGTGAAACCATATGATCTTTTTATCATTGGTCACATCATTCATCTCCTTTGCCTAAGGTTCTAAATTCACTAGCCACAAGAACATTCACATTAGCAACTTTACTTACTATATAACGAGATAAAACTTATCTTCAAAATTTATCCATGAAATATACAATAAGACCGTATACATTTGGATTAGTGAATCGCCGGTCCAGATTGTCATTTTAATATGCAAAAAAAATAGTGAACCGGCGAAACAATGCGTGAAAAAACAGTGACTAGGCAGAAAACTAGTCCGAATTGATAAATCGACGGTCTAAATCTCCATTTTATTGTAGAGAATATCCGTTTTACTGTGCAGTCAGTTTTCTTCTAGACTCAGCCATTTTCCTATATATACATAAAACCAACCAATTCCCAAGTCGGCACGAAATCTCGAACTAAGCGATTCCATGCGAACCCGGTGTTTTTTAAATCACTGCATTGAACATTTTTATATTTTTTATATATGTTAATTGTGAGAACCAATGGCAAGGCATTAAACCAATTTAAGATTACTCTCTTTCCAAAGAATAACCTTTCCATTTTAATCCAAAAGATTTTGTATTTTTCCTTTTGCAATCACTGAAATTCTACAAAATAAGAATTTGATAAGCTTTATAGTAAAACATTAATTCCCACCTGTCATTGTTATTTTCATTATCTTCAACAGCCATGGGAATATACGACATTATTGATCTCATCATATATATATATAATGGTAAGTTTCATTGTAGACTGCTAATCAGGCAGACAGACAAATCAGGAATCTGCCATAAAGGAGACGAGGTATGCGAAAGTTGTTGGCCTCCGAATATCCAAAAATACTTTGTAATCAGTGAGAAAAACAATGAATGGTAAAACATACACAATAGGATTATTACATTTAGTACACGGTCATAATTACTATCAGATATCAAATCATCATCGTCACTATGATCATCATTTGATGCTATTTTAACTATTTGGGATTTGAAATTGACTACACGAATCATGTTACGCCATTCTACTCCATCAAAGGCGCTATACCCTTTGTCACTACTTACATCCATGTCATTTCGGATCTTCCTATTGTTCTTTTAAAGCTTTTCACTTGAACCAAATCGGTCCTCCTAACTGGTAGTGTATTAGATCTACACTGCACATGATCAGCCCACCTAAGTCTTACTATCAGCTATCAAATGTAAAATCAAATGTAAAATCAAAGGCAGTTGAATGTGTGCCATTGACACTTTTAAAGTCGGAAAAGTTTTGTTAGGACTTTGTGACACACTCATAGCCTCTTGATTTCACATAAGATGGCTGATACCTATGATCTTGGGCTAAAGTAATAATGGTCTTGTAGTATACAATCTCATACATCCATTCACATAATGAGGTACCCAAAATAGTGTCCATATCTAAAATATTATAGAGAGAAAATGGAAGAAATATCTTGCTTTGGAGAGTTTGCTTCATCCACCGGATCTTTTAGTGAAGAATCATTATACAAAGTTCAAATGAATTACAGCTATGGTTTCCTTAAGTTACAACTAGAACCACAGGACAGTCGGAAAAACGTTTTGAGGAAACAAAATAGTAGTCTAATATATACATTCAAAGAGATCATTTACATTTAGTACAAAGAGGCCACAAGTGCTGTTGCCTGTCAAATTTCAAATCGATGATTGTGCGTGATTCATTAAACTGTTAAAAAAATAAATAAATCTTTAACTTTGTAAGGTACCCCAAGCTATCTAATTTGAAAATGTTTAGGAGTACTTGTGACCTTGTAACAAAGATAAATTATCCTCTTGTATACAATCTCTAAAAATATCAAATGAAAAATAAAAGAGATACACCGGGCCAAAGAGGCCCTAACCCTATGAAGGGACGAGCCAAATAAAATTAAATAAAAACAAAACAAAAAAATGATAAAAAAAACTAAGGGCCATGTCGGGCCACGGTGGCCCGGCCCTAGGGCCACATTTTGTGCTCCTGACCTTATCTTTTTACGCCAAGGCCAACCGGGCCAAGCCAGGCCAGGCCATCCTGTCCATTTGCACTTCAAGCAGATTCGAGAGAAGTCACCAAATGTACTTGTAGAAATGAAAAAAAACAATAATTTCAAGAGATAAGGTGTGGAATGGATCCATTTTAAAATTTTAATATATTTCTTGATATGTTAATAGGTATATTAGGTAAGAATGGAACCCGCAACATCACGTTCTGGCCCCACCACCTGATCTCTCAAGCCTCGGGCCTATTTCTTATATTTTCAAACTTACGAATATCCAAGAGTAATTTTATGATGTGTTTCGGAGGTAATTTTACCACATTTTGAACATTAGAGCTTGATCATAGCCACCCAATTTCACAGTCAATGATCAAGATTAATTGTGACCACCTTGTACCAAAGATAAATAGTCTCAACAATATATTTTCCTTTTTACAAATTTGACTAATATTCTACTTTTAAAGGACTCGCTTTGCTGAGGTTTAGTTCCTCAAGTTGAAGACTCTAGCCACTTCGGCTAAAGTGACGCAAGTCAAATATTGGTAATTGTTTGCCACAACATTGAGCATATGCATATTAACTCGTTTGAGACTCAGTTCGATCAAGATAATATGCAAACACTTCTTAATTTTGTTAGTCTCAATAGTGATTTAAAAATGCCGGGTTGGCACGGAATCACCCAGGTCCGATCCAGGAATCGTCAACATATAGGAAATCATGTGGGTCTAAAAGAGAACCCGCGATTTACTATAGTAAAAACGACATTCTAATACAATAAAAAAGCCGATTCACCGATCCAGACTTGTTTTTTTGCCAGTAAAACAGCAATCCGGACTACCTATTCACCAATCTAGACCAATTTTTGCAATGCCATCTTGGTCACTGATCCATTTTTTAAATCATTTGTCAAAACCATTACTTCCCATCATCCTTTCAAAAAATTACCGAACATATGCCTTTATCCTTTTTCTTCTTAGAAAATTGGTAATTTTCAGGAAACAAAAATATCAAGAGAGTATCAATCCAAAAGGGATTATATTATAGGAGGAAGAATCAGAAGAATAAACACTCACCAACAACAAAATGAGACTTAAAACAGAAACAAGAAATATGAAACCAAAACTTCCAACTGAAAAAATCTACTAGTTAGTCGGAATGAGAGAGTGTTTTACAGACCCACCATATAAAATGGGTAATTGAAAAACAAAATACAAGTGACTATTAAAAAGCAAAATAAATGAAATCAAATAAAAAGAAAGACAAAGTTTACTTACAAGTTTTGAACCATTTTTCACCTTCAAGGCATCACCCATTCCAAACCCCATTCACAAGCTAAATCTTGATGTCCTGTTTCCAAAAATAACTGATCACAATCACACATGCTCATCAGTAATTACCAGATAATAAAGGGCAAGGCAAATGGGATAAAGAAAAAAAGTAATAAATGTGATCCGTGACTCATAAGTTTTCAGCCTCTTTCCTTTTCATTTGCAGCACCATAAACAGTATCTTGTGACTAGTAAACAACCACAACAAATGCCCAAGATCCCCTGCTCCCCCTCCCCCCCCCTCCCTCTCTCTTGCTCTCCCTCCTCTCTCTCTCTCTCACTCTCATACACACAGAAGAAGAAGGGGGTTGGAAGCAGATCGAGAAAGAGAGAGAGGGAGGGAGATGGGGGATGGAATCTTTCACGATTTTCACATTTATCTAGTGAAGGTGGTCTTGGATAGGCATATTTCATTAAAACACATTCAAATAGTTTTCCCAAAAAAGCTATAAGAAATACGAGGCCAAATTTCTGTATCTACAGAGGCTTGATCACACTTTGGGAAGACAACGCACAAACAATATGATGAGAGAGAGAGAGTAAAACGAAACAATATGAAGTACAAAGTCTCACCTGTTCACTGATTGTTGAGGCCATTAGTTCTTAGGCTTCTTAAAATGTAGGATGACCAGAGAAGAAGAGACGGAGAAATGGGATTCTCAGTCATCCCACGCATCATCTGCAGAACCTTCTCTCTTGATGGTTTGGGGCGCAAGCATGTACCTGTACTTATCCTCCACATTAATTGAAGCAGGCCCTGACAACGAGAACTTAGAGAAGCCATTCTTGGCCTCTCGGAGTGCAGCAGCTGCTTCTCTCTCCTTCCTCCTTGCCTCCTGGTTAATCTCAATTATTAATTATATGAACAAACCTATGAAAAGATACAATGTAATTTTGCCTAGAATAATCATATTTTTCTTCTTTTCTTGGTAAAAGAGAACTATGGAAAATATTTGATTTTTTTCTGTTTATTTAGTTTTTATTTTTAATAATCATTTTCATGTCTTTTTGTTTTTTGATAATATGATTAATCATTGTAATGTTCTATTTATGTAATTATTTATCTTTTTTTTTTTTGCAGAAGCCGAATCATGAAATATTTATACCAATCGAGAAATTAGTTATTTACTAAAATTTTGGCAAGCGCCGACCCCAAATAATGGGGATAAGGCTTGGTTGATGATGACTAAGTTTGGCAGCATAATACTAGGATATATATGGCAAGACAAGAACTAAATTTAGTTCTGAGTCATGATTACCCCACAAAAGTAAAGCGGAATCCACTAAGAAAAAAAGAAGAGACTGAAAACAATTAACATAAACCCCAAAAGAAATTTTTTATTGAAATATAATGTGAAAAAAGAACTCAAGAAGGAATTAACAGAAAAGCACCCGAAGGAAAGAAGCAGAGACAATCAAATATGTCATTCAAAACTACCACAATAAACAGCAGATAGCATCCTACAATATGTAATTCCATTTTCTTAACACAAATCAGCTGAAAAGGAAATGACTCATAGTTGTTCTTGACACCAGGGAGCACCCTACAAAATGTGATTCCGTTTTCTCCACACAATTCAGGTAAAAAGATAAGGGCTCTGTAGTTGTTCTTGATGCTGTTCTTAGTAGCACTACTGATTGTTGCTACTACTACTTTCACCACAACTACTACTACGACTACTGCTGCTGCTGCTGTTGCTAGCTTACTACTACTAAAACTGCCACAGCTACTATTTGACAAGTGGAAGTAACACAATATTACTTATCAGCCAAATGAAGGACAATAGTATAGCAAAACAGCATACCTTTCCAGTTGCAAATGCCATGGCATTTCCTGATTCCACATCTGCTATACCCTTCCTGATATGTGCCACAACTAACTGTTGAACCATCAACATATGGACCTCGTTACCATGTTTATGAATAAACCATGACAGAAATAAGGGAAAACTGAAAAAAGTTAAAAATATCAAAAAAAGAGAACAAAAGCAAGAAAAAATTATCAAAACGGAAAAGAACAACAAGCACCATATCACGATCAGTGTAGAAAGATGTGGCTTGGCCTGTAGTTCCAGCACGCCCTGTCCTTCCAATGCGATGCACATAGTCTTCCATTGTCTGCATAAGAGAAAAGTAGAAAAGAAGTAACGTACCATAAAAAAGGGAATATTCTGAATGGCAATGACACTAAGGAAAACAAATACAGAGGGGTTCCAACTTCCGACTTCCAAGATTTTTAACAGGTTTGCTCCTCCTATATGATAAAGCATAAGATGATAAATTTACAATACAAAAATGTCCAACAAACTTCTAATTACACTGCTTAGAAGAAAAGGAAAAGCTTTTAATTACAATGTATGCGACATATGCCCATATGCTATGTATTTGTATGTTCGAAAACATCTAGTGACACACGATACATGTATCAATGCATGTAACATCTTGATATAACTCATTTTTTATAACTGCAATATGTTGATATACATCTATAGTGAAAATATGCAGTGAAACCACTTAACTTTTGTACAAAAAGGTCATAAACACCCCAAGCCCTTCAGATGTGAAATCAGGAGGGCTTAGGGGGTAACGTATACCAAGCCCAAATTCCAATAACATTTTCTCAGACTTTATGCGAAGAAATGACACACCAGGGCCCATCCAATTTTACACATGACAGCTTTTTTTTATGATCGGTACTAACGAAAGGTAATGGTCTCATCGTGTGTGTGCGCACATGCCCGTGTGTGTATGAGAGAGATATTTCCCAAAAAAGCACGAGAGAAAATATGGCATTGGTCCTGAATCATGATGAAAAAGAAATCTTTTAGGTCCATGTCTCCAATCATAGTTCCCTGGAACAGAAGTCCGATCACATTTTTCTCCAAATTTGACATGACACATAAGAATTATAGAGCATTGACAAATTAATATGTTCCTTTAGCAATTAAAAGTGGGGCCATAACTCACCATTCATGAATGCAATGAATAATCTCTTTTTTGATAAAGCTGACCATATTAAACTATTGTAAAACGATGAGTAGATTAACCATGTAATGAAATGCTCTCTTTCAAAGTTTCAATTTATTGGAATGCTCTCTCTCACACCATTACTAAAAATGCCCCTCTTCCCTAATAAATCACAGCTTCTCTCTGAAGCTGATTGCACCTTAAATATAATTAAATCATGTGAATCTTAGTTATAGAGACATTGCATGAAATTATATTGGCACCGACGAGCATCCGAGAGAGGGACAAAGATATACCTTTGGAAGATCAAGGTTAATGACATGTGCTACGCCAGTCACATCCAAACCACGTGATGCCACATCAGTGGCAACCTACACAACAGCATCAAAAGTATCCAGCAGTGAGCATATCTCTAGGGGGAAAACATACTATGCCTATTGTCCATCATGAATTGGATCATAGCATACTTTCAGTATCTAAAAGTTAGAATAATAAATTAAGAATCTAAATGTTACAATGCATGTTGAAACCAATTATGTCATGTTGATGGCCCCTTGTGGCCATAGGCTCCATAATATTCCCAAGTCATGTAGATCATAGCACATTTTCCCATAAAAAGAAAGCAATCTTTTTGTCTAGTGATTTCCAAATTGGTTTTTCTCCAAATTGGTTTTTCTCCAAAAAAGTCCATGGAGACCTCAAAGAGATTGAAAATTTAAGAATAAAAGATACCAAAATGTTAGTTGAGCCACTTCTGAAACTGCATAGGGCTGCTTCTCTCTCACTTTGACTCCGTCCCCCATGTAAAGACACAGCATGCAGACCTTGAGCAACCAAAGCTTCAACAACTTCGTCACACCTTGTCTATAGAAAGAGAGAATTTCGCATATTATGATCTAAAATGGAAATCTTCTAAAGTCTAAATAAGGACAAGACAAGATACTCAATCCTCAAGGACTCCTATCATGAGAAAGTATTTCATAATCCAATGGACTATGAAATACCATATAGTCCACTGTGATCATTCCATCCAATGAAATGAGGGGATGAGACAGACTAGACCTTTCATTTCATTCGACTATGATGACCCCAACAGATTATGAATATGCCTAAGCCCAGTGGGTCATAATATACTTTTTGTTATGTAGTATTTTATATTGTATACTTGAATGGTAATACTGTAGTTCTGACTTTGGGCACTTGAAAGAATACTATGGTTTAGTTATTTGCAATTTCTGATTGCCACATTTACGAGTACTATGGGATAAGGAAACAAAGGAAATTTGGTCACTTAGTCAGAATAGAGACGTACATATATGTATATGTACGTATATATGTGTAGACAATAGGGATCATAGTGCTATAACATATTGGTATAGAATAGAGCTCTTTGCACCAAACTCTAGAAGAACATAGAGGGGCAAAAAATAAAAAAGACATGCACATATATGTTATCTTCTCGAGTTTCATTATCCAATCATTGGGTTGAAACACCAAAGTCCTGTAACATGCACTAGGTTGCAGTTTCAATCTTAATTTTATCCAGCCAAAAGAATGGAAAGAAAAATGAGTTATTCAATCATATGCATTTTGGTGGTACTTTAGACAAATTCCTCACAAAAACGGAAAATGGAAATACATCTGTTAGTCTAGGCCTGTTTTCACTCCTTTTGTTTTCAAAGATCAGGAATTTTAGGCATTTTGTGAACAAAGTAAATGAAGAAAGGAAACATGAAAAGATTGAAAAGAAGTATATTGTATTAAAGTGAAGCGTGGATTATTGAATTATAATGAAGCATGGATTACGGTAACCAAAAAGGGGAATAAGCTGTCTGTTCCCAATAGCAGAAGGTATTGGTAGATTAACTCTCCCTAAGAGAGTGTCCTGGTTGGCCCCACTACGATTAATCTCCACTGTCTATTATCAGGATTAGACAATGAATACCTTTGGAGTACTTTATACCATACGCAATTGAATATGCATTTCAAGATGACTGTTTATCTTTTGTCCCAAGAAGGTCACAATCATCTTTTGCTGTCTGATGTAAAATTGGACGGCTAAAGGTGAATTACTACCAGGCTCAAATCCAAAAAAACCATTTTTCAACCTTTGTGACACCCCTTGCTACTCGATTTCACATCTGATGGCTAGGGGAGATTGCGACCTTCTTGTACCAAAGGTAAACGCTCTTATAGTATGCCATCCCTAATAATAATTGGAGAAGAAAAAGAATACGAGGGCCACCTTCCTTTCTACAAAAACAATGGTCAAAGGAAGAGGCTGCCCTGACTTTTCAGCTTGAGATGCCTCCTCAACAAGCAAAGCCAGAAGCCGATCAATCTGTGACATTGCAAAAAATCTCTATCAGCCAGAGAAGATGACACTTACAAGGTCACTTTATAACATAATGATAAGTTCCAAAGAAATAAATGTGTTAAGCAGCAATAACTCTGGTACTCATGCTCAAATGGGAAAGCCCTCTAATAGAGTGGAATACAGAAAAATAATCCATTGGGGTCCCATAAAATGATGAAGAGAGATGGAAAGTGGGTCTGGTCCTGTTCTGGAGGGTCAATCCCTCTCCATCACCATTCATCATTTCATTGAATGGTGACAACCCAGTAGACCATGGTTTCCATAATCCATTAGATTATCACATTATTTCTCTACTCAAAATACGACCATCATAACCGCTAATTTCAGGAAGAGATGACAAGGAGTCAAGGATGAAATGACTACTATATTTCACCGAGACACATGCAAGGAACTAAAATGAATAGAGCAAGATCCAAACTTTTTCTGGAACGTTTTGACCAGAGACCAAACCAAAACTTCAAATTTGAGACCACATTAACTTTGATCGAAGATTTGAAGTTTTGAACATAAACACTGCTTCTGAAAGGAACAACCTATAATCTTTAGGCAAGATGTAGAACAACCTCTTGTCATTTCAAGCTTGTTTGAGGAATAAAGCCATATTAAATTTCTCCATGTTTATGGGAGTTATAATATCTTATTGTGTTAAATATCACAAGTTTGATATTGTTATCCAATACCAAACTACCACATGAAGACCTACCCAAAAATGCACTTCTGAATAAAAATGAAGAAAGTGTTTATGATGCATCATCATCAATTTAATATAAGAAATGTACCTTCTCACTTTCAATAGCTTTCTCAAGAATCTGAGATACATTGGCTGTCGGACTGCTAACTTTTCCCACCTTTACTTGCACAGGGTTATTCAAATATTCCTAATAGAAAACACAAACTCATACCACTAATCAATAGAATAAAAAATTCAGTCAAAAGAAAAGGGAATGTACTTGATAAATCCTATTCAGATATGTACAGACAAACATAGTACCAAATGGAACAACTTCAAAGATGCTAGAAAACAAATGCCTCCTTCAGTTCTGCAGCAAGATCTCAACTCGGCAATCAATAATTTTTTGATAAATGGAACTTTTATAGAGAGAGAAGCAAGAATGCACAAATTAGTGGGAGATGTGAAAAGAACTAATTTCTAAACTAATTCCCGCTAGTCATGGATCAACCCCAGGGAAATAAGCATGGGGGAGTTTTGAAGTGCAATAATAGAACCTTCAGGTGTTGAAGATGCTACATGAGCCAATGTAAAAGTATCCCAGCATACCTTGGAGTTTGGGTAATGATTCAAAGGGGTATTCCAGTTTCAAGCAGATCAGGAGGTAGTTTTCTTGGAAATCAAATATCAATTGTCAAAATTCAATTTTTCTCCATTTTGTAATGTGTATCTAAGGAAGCTAACATGGCAACCAATGGACCAATTTACATATGTATAACAAGGAATATGGGCTATGGGATTGTAGCCCACTGTATGTGTTTCATGGTGATTTTCATAGCCATTTATCCTTTTATGAAGTTTATTAACAATCAGTAGATACACACATGCGCACTCACACACCCACAAACTCACACACACTAAACATAGCGTATGTGTGATATAATTTTGGTTCTTAAAGGATCTTAGAAAAAATATTATAACCAGGCCAAAATATTGATGTCGTCAGTCTTCTCCTCTAGGTCACACCAAGATCAAGGGAAGGAGGAAAGACAAGATAATCCGCCCACCCAAGAGAAAGAAAAACAAAACCAACTAACAAAATTAAGACATTATGAGGCACAATACCTGTGCGAGAGCTTCAATTTCTACAGGCATAGTTGCGCTAAACAGCAATGTTTGGTGCTTTTTTGGAAGATTCCGCATCACCTGAAGGAGGTTAGCTCATTAAAAACCCAAGTGACATTGATTTTCTCTGTAAGAAACTTAAAGAACCCCACCTACTTGAACATTTAAGGTGCTCTGTGCACACACACTCAAAAAACTTTAAAAGAAAAGGTCTTATTGAATTACCTCTCTTATTTGTGGTTCAAAACCCATATCAAGCATCCTGTCAGCCTCATCCAGCACAACGAATGAGACACTTGATAGAGAGCTGTTCCCTTGCTGCAAATGATCAATAAATCTTCCTGGTGTGGCAACCACAATATGTACCCCTGCTCTCAACTCTGACCTCTGTCATGATAAATAGAAGCACAAGATATGAGAGTTGGAAAAGAGTCTGGTTCCTACGAGGGGAAATGCATGAAAAAGTATCACTAATTACTTCATTTTTATATGTTTATAATAGTCTATCACTTGAATAACATAAAGGAATAAGGAACCACAAAGATCAAATGGAAGTGAACACCGAGGACATGCTTATCAACAAGATAGAGAGAGTGACAGAGGGGGAGAAAACACGAGAGACTAATATATGCATGAGTAGAGTGAGGATCTGAAAAAACATAGCATACAGATATAAGTAAATATAGATGAGCTTCCACAGGAAAATACCCATCAGAGAACAGATACCTGCTCAGCTATGTTTGTTCCCCCCACGACTATAGCAGTTCTGAAAGATTCCAGTGATCTGCTGAAAGCCTTAACCTGAAACACATGTAATTCCAAATTATATATATGATGGCACAAAATTTAAACGCCATACAAGGGAGAATCTGTGAACCACCAGAAGAAAAACCTAGTTTTTCTGGTATTAAGATACTTCTTGAGTCCATGGCTCACAAATCTCAGAAAAATGAGCAGTTTTATGTGCACAGTCGTGGGTGGGTGTATGTGTGGGTGTGGGTAAGGGTGTGGGGGTGTGGGTGTGGGGGTGTGGGTGTGGGATAGAGAGAGAAAGAGTCAAGCATGTTAATATTTGGGCAAGAATATCTAACTCGTGGTAGGCCTAAGAGCATGAGCTTACTTTAAATTTTGCAAAACATAAACGACTAAGGTGTGTTACTCACTTATTACAGTACATTATTTTTTACGCATCATTTTAATCAGTTTAACTTACTAGAAGTAATTTACTCATTTGAGCTCCATGTAATCAGCGAATATAATTTTAAGCTTCATAAGCAACATGTCAAAAAATTTCTTTTGCTTTTGACTGAATGTAATGCAATTTCATTTTCTCAGGTTAAATTCTTGCTTCTTGACAACAAAAAGAATGACTCTTAGAGATAGTATAAAAAGTACTAAAATTATACAATAAAACCCTTTATGTTTGGTACAAGAAGGTCACAATCATCGTTAATTGTTAGATGTGCAATAGGATGGTTGTGAGTGTGCTATTGATTGCGCTCAAAGTCCAAAAAATAAAATTTGAACTTTGAGACACAGTCCTAGCCATCTGATTTCACATCTGATGGCCGGGAAAAGCATAGACAATTCACCTTCGAAACAAGGAGGTCCCAATTGCCTTTAGTTTTTTTGAGAAACACAATTGCCTTTAGTTGCTAGGTGTAAAATTAGACAGTTGTGGGTGTGGTATTGACTGCAGTCAAAGTCCAAAAAGTTTTATTTTGAACTTTGTGACACACTCCTAGTCAACTGATTTCAAATCTGACAGTTAGGAGTACCTGTGACATTTTCGTGCAAAGGTAAATGGTCGTGTAGTTTGCTATCCCTAATGAACCTAACAGTACCCAAATGTAGTATGTAATTTTTAAAATGTAGTATATTTTTACACTCTATCTCTAATTAACTGACTTCTCCAGAAATTCTGAGCCCCAAATTTATAGAAGAAAAGAATTTTACCCAACAAAAGTAAGGCATGGAAATACCTTCTAATGTGTAAAAGGAAGCTAGAAGGAAGTGATTTTCAAGAAGAAAACAGATAGTAATGGAGAAAAAAAAAAAATTCAAAATCATAGTTGTTGGAAATGTCAGGGAACCCGAATCGTTTCAGGAACCGGAATCGTGGAATCGTGCCTGGCCAGAAATTTCCTATTGTAGGAATCGTTGTCCGTACAATAGGAATCGCTGGGGACGAGATTCCTAATTTTCAGGAATCGAGTATCGATAGAAATAGGCCCAAGTTTCATCCACATATGGAATCGAGATTCTGGCCTCCTTGGAATCGAGATTCCCATCCCCCTGGGTTCGACACTCCAAGTGTCAAGTTTCATGAATATGTGGAATCGAGTTTCCATCATCTATGGAATCGAGTTTCCGACATATGCGGAATTGAGTTTCCATCATTTATGGAATCGTGATTCTAACATATTTGGAATCGAGTTTCCATCATTTATGGAATCGTGATTCTAACATATTTGGAATCGAGTTTCTATCATCTATGGAATCGTGTTTCCAACATATTTGGAATCAAGTTTCTCAAGTGTATGGATCAAAGATCCATATTGGTTTGAGATCGAGAATTACAATAGCAGAATCGAGTTTCCGACATCACTAGATTCGAGTTTCTAACATATGTGGTACATAGATATGTTGTTGTGCAGAATCGTCAGTCCATGTGTGTTACTTTATATGTTATTACATGATTTCAATATTTTATAGGCATTTAAATTAGAGGCGAATAAATAAAATTAGCATTATTAATAACCACTTTACATTCAGTATTTCAATACTAAGCAATGTTGTGAGGCTACATATGGTGTAAGATCACTTAAGCCATCTTTTCAGATGACATATGAGCAAGATTAAAAAACCAAGACAGTTTACATCACCGCAAATATATGGCACATTATTCTATAGGCATTTAAATCAGGAAAAAAAGAAGTAAAAATAACATTACTAATAACAATCTTGCAATTGGTAGTACAATACTAAGCAATGTTGCAAGGCGAGACGTCGTGCAAGTTCATTTAAGCAATTCACATAACTATGAGCAAGGTAAAGAAACTATAGCAGTTTACATTAATGCAAATATAAGAAATATAATAAATATAACTAAAAAAGCAACACAATCTCATTAAATTCCTTCTAAAATACATGCCTTATAAATAATAATACCCCTTTCAAGTACACATGCTGCCTAATGCTATCATTTGCGACCTTAAAGTATGATATCCACTAGAAAATAAAACATTACTTTTGTGGTTATTATTTACAAGAAACTAATGTTTTATACGGTGTAGATGATTCAAAACCTTGACGGAATGAGTTCCATTACTTGTACAATCGTGTATCATTTAACATAGAATCAAAACGCTAGAAGCCAGATTCAATCTATTTGGGAACGTCTACTCACAATTAGGGGGTTCAAGTTTCTTTAGATCTGTTGGATCGAGATTCCGAAATTAAGGAATCGAGGTTCCTTGGTTCCGAAAAATATTTTTAAAAGAAGTGTTGAATAGAGATTCCGAAATTAAGGAATCGAGTTTCCTTGGTTCCGAAAATAGCTTTCCACATATGTGAGGAATCGAGATTCCAACATTAAGAAATTGACTTTCCTATGTTGCAAAAAAAAAGTTTCCACCTAGGTATGAAATCGAGATTCCGAAATAAAAAAAATTGAGTTTCATTGGTTCAAAAAAACTGTTTCCATGGAGTTTCCTTAACGGAAACGAGGAAACGGGTTTCGGAACCAGAATCGCGGGGTCCGAGGAAAGATTCCGGTAACTATGTTCAAAACCCTAAGGATGGAAGAAAGTTTCATAGAGGGCATTTGAATATTAACCTAAAGCATAAATATGCCAGAACTTGAAAACAAAAGCAAAGAAAAAAAAGAGGTGAAAACAGCTGATTTTAATCAATAAAAATAAACATGTAAACAAGGCCTCATGATACTGGTGTGAATCGCCAATCTCAAAGGAGAAACTTCCAGAACATGGGTAGAACAATAGTCAGTCATCAACATAGAATCACGACATCTTTGCCTATTCCACATACAAAGACGACATATATACAAACATACATACACACATACATATGCACATACATACGTACATTATACGTGTGTGTGTTTAGAGGTGGGGTTTCTATGAGCCAGTCAACTCACCTGTACACATTCGTGCGTCACCCCCTCCAAAATCCATCTTGATCCAAATTTTTGGAGATCCATGATCTAGGCTATGGTGATCATAAATATGAAAAAGAAAAAAAAATTTAAAATTTGAAAATCTTTATTTTTTATTTTTTTTGCACCATCAAATTTCATATTTTGGTCAGATGCCCTTTCCTTAATGTTCGTCTTAAAAATGGATGTTTGTGGATGAGGGGACGCATGCATTCACTGACTCACATTAATACCTCTTTCTCTATCTGTTGAGCAAGTTCTCTCGTAGGGGCTAGGACTAATGCTAATGGTCCATCACCACGCCGAAGAGGCTGTTGAGCCAAGCAATGCTGCAATAAGGAGCATAAAATGTCAATGTGCCACCGTGGAAACAGAATGTTTGATCTTTGATGTACATATCCATAGGGATACACATAAACAAAAAACCCACATATAAATGCCCATGTAAATACGTTGAGCATATTAAAATCCAAAAACGGAGTCCATTGGAGCATCACTATCCATTTAAACGATGATGTTAACCCAAGGGACTATGGTTTTTCATGTCCATTGAATTACAATAGAACATGCGTATCCCATGCAAGAAAAATGTCTTAAGAATGGAAGACCAATGTGAGTATGGTACCTGTATCATGGGAATACTGAATGCAGCGGTTTTCCCACTCCCAGTCTCTGCACATCCCAACAGATCCCTTCCACTCAAAGCAATTGGCATCGCTTGAGCCTGAATAGGGGTTGGTCGAGTGTATTCATGAAATGCAATATCCTTCATGATGATTGTGTGCAAACACTGCAAAGAGCAATTAAAAAAAGATGCCAATATCCCACCAGTCAGCATTTATATGGCAATGCTTACTTACAAGCACATAGCATTGGTTTTTCAAGGGAGAATATACTTTGATCCAATAGACTATGGAGAACCTTAGTACAGAAGGGCCATGATTGCCCAAATTAGATGACGGAAAGGACCTTGGACTCATGTCCTATTCCCTTGGGCCTGGCAGTCTCTCCATCATCATCCACCATTTCATTGAATTGTGACAAACCCAATGGCCTATGAGTATATCATAGCCCATTGCTTTCTGGAGTACTGGCCCATTTTTTATACAAAATTCAAATAGAATACATATTAACATAACATACCATGTCCTCAAAGGATTCTATGGGTGCAGGGGCAGGAAGGGAATCGAGAGGAATTGAGACGTCAATATTTAAACGCAACCTAACATCCTCTATCTGCAATTAAAGAACATGTCAATAGGCTAACTTACACAAGCCTACAGGAATATGAGTGAAAGGCATAATAAGACAGACCAATAAGCATGCAAAGGTAAATGATCTAGGGAATGATAGTGTAAACGATCTAGGGAATGATAGTGTATATCTAAGCTGATGACCTGTCCAAATACTTCAATTTTTAAACAATGTCATCAAATATCATACATTATTATGAAGTGTGAAGAAGGAGAAAAGTGGACATATTAAATAAAGTCAATTAGCATTTAAATTGACACTGCCAAGAAAAGTATAAAATACTTGTACAGAGTATAATATGGGTACCAGCCATCCACAATCAGAACTTATTAATGAACAATGACCATGAACCAATATCCCAATTTAAGTAAGTTGTGGACAGCACTGACATCCACCATCCAATGATATGGTGGATGGCCACTCCAAGTACCCCTTATCATACACAAGGAATGTACAGTATAGCGTACCATACACATTCTCATGTGACATCCATTAAAGAAAATTATTGTCCATTTCTCATATAACCCTATGAGCCATTATTCTCATCACTCCTTTTTCCCTAACCTAGAAAATCACATCACTGCAATATGAAAATCGCATGATATGGTTGACAGATGGAGTTTGAATTCTTTTGAGAGTTGAAAGAGCTAGGAACTATGGTCTCTAGTGATATGGTGAGCAGACAGGAGGGACGTTTGAAAATAAAACCTAAAATGTGAAAGGAGGAAAGATTTGAAGAGACTATTGGTGAAATTATTTCATCAAATGTAAGTGGTAGATGCAGATGTTCGGAGGTGAACAAAGCTCAACAGCTTTCAAACATTTGCGTCAAGGTTCGGACGTGACATTACAATACTTGCGGCGAGTATTGTATGGGGCACTCAGACCAGCCATCCATCATCACATACATATCAACGGCCTAATGTGAGCTGTGTCCTGCTTTGAGTACAATTATTATTTCCTTCTCACTAGGCTAAGCTGTAACCTTTAAGTATACAATATGCCCCCCATCTATCAAATAGATATTCAATAAGTGAAGGTTCAATAAAGCGAGGTTCCGTGACATTGAGGGGACCAACGTTCATCAGCTAACAGAGAAATTAATATAAATGAACTAATTAGAGAGTGAGACGCAGTATTAAGCCAGTAAGTGAGGTAATGTAAAGTTGCTATCACCTATCCTCTAAATTGTCCAAAGCTTAGTTTTGATGATACCAGTACTAGTGTAAGTAGCTCAAGCCTCATTGAAATTGAGGACACTAATAAACAATGTGAGAGAAAAATATAGAAATAAAATAATGAGAGAGAGAAAGATCAAGTAATGAGAGAGAGGTCAAATAATGCAAAATACATGCTAATGAACAAATAGGGCAAGAACCCAAAAAGAAATAATACAAATTCCATGACCCTAAAAATTACAAGTAAATGAAATGCGTGCAATAAATAACAAAATTTCAAGAAAACAAGTGCATAATCAGACAATAAACCCAAGCGTAAACTGAAAAATCCAGAACCCAACATTTTCATATTCATAATTCCATAGCATAATCACAAAAACATCACGTTAGATATAAAAAATGATAAATAGAAACATAAGAAATGATGAAACCTGGAATAATCAGAATTACAAAAAAAATACAGGAAAAACCTAAAACCAAAAAAAAAAACCCATAACAGGAATCAATTCAAACTTGGTGAAAACGAGAGAATCGATGGAACCTGCTCTGGCATCAATCGAAGAACTCGATCAGAGGGCTTCCATTGCTGAAAGATTGGCTCCGGGACACTAAGAGCCCTAGGTTGGGAGACATTACTGGTTCTGCTTCGGCTAGGGCTACCAAAGCTTGAGGAATAGCTGAAAGAGTTTTTAGATGCAGTGTCATTGTAGAGAGAAGAGAGCTTATGAGAGTTGAGAGGCTGAGAGGGGGTCTCTGTAGAGTGGGAATGGGGTAGAGATGAAGCTCTGAGGTGAGGAGGTACGTAAGACATGTCGATAGGGATTCTAGAGAGAGATGGTAGAGGGAGAAAATGGGAGGAATGCCGGGGGTGTCTATGATGGAGAGGTGCCGCTTAGAGAGAGAGACTTCGAAAAGGATTGCAGCTATGCGCGATGAGAGAGAGAGGCAAAGTGGAAAGTCATAGAATTCCAGAGATTCGACTCAAGGATAAAGAGACGAGATAAGAGTGACTCGATTAAGGGGGTGAGAGAGATAGAGAGACTCCGGTAGATGAGAGAGAAAGTGACGCGATTAATGGTGAGAGAGCCAGACTCCGGTAGAGGAGAGAGAAAGCCATCGGAGAGAGCGGCGATTAAGAATTTTTTATCGGTGGCGCGAATCGGACACTAAATATTGGTTTGGATCGGAACTCTAAAAATTAAGGTAGAGGAGAGAGAAAGTGACTCGATTAAGGGGGTGAAAGATACGGACTCGGTAGAGGAGAGAGAAAGCCATAGGAGAGAGCGGTGACAATTTTTGATCGGTGTCTCCGATCGGAACTCTAAAAATTGGTTTGAATCCGAATCGGAATCCAAGGTCGGAATCGCTGTTTGATAAAATAGTGAATCGGCAAAAAAATATGTGAAAAAATAGTTAACCAGCCAAAAACCAGTTTGGATTAGTGAATTAGTTTAGATCAATGTTTCAAAAAGCGCAAGGCAGATCCTAGGCGGCCTCGAGGTTCAGGAGGCCCAGCGTCTATGCAGGTGCCCAAAACCTAGGTGGCCCAGTTGAATGCGAGTGTCCAGAACTTAGGTGGCCCAGTTGAATCCAAAAAAGATTATGTGAGTTATATATATCATATAAAAAATAAAAATTAGGTATTTAAAGCACATGATAATTCAAATTATACTACATATTAGTATTTAGCACACACTCCATAAGCATAACCATAATCCATAAGTCGGTTCATACTCCATATCCAATTAAAATTTAACATTTACCAACCAACCAAATTACCAAACCAAGTTAGTACACCACCATGAGAAAAAAAACAAAATTGAATTATGAAAGTAGGGTTTTGTTAGGCTGCACCACTTGGTAGTGTAGACCCTTAAAGTGCTCCACATTTTTTTACACTAAAATACTTTTGAATTGTAATACAAAATTTTTCAAGTATGAGCATTTTTTGTTATTTAGAAAGGTATAATGAATATTTTTATAAGAAAATGGTGGCATTATATTAGTAGTTAAAAACAATTAATGCATCTTGTAGGTGATGTCACACACCATATTGGTGATGTCATTGCCCACTATTGTTAGTAAATGCTTTTTTTTTATTAGGAATTTCTATTTTACTATTGACTAATTACTTAAAATACTTCTAAACAAATAGTTACTATACTATAGGATAAGGGTATCTAAATGTCTAAAAATGTTAAGCACTTTAAGGGTCTACACCACAAGTGTTGTAGCCTAATAAAACCCATGAAAGTAATACTTGAAGATTCAAAAGAATCTTCAATAATTCAATACTTCAATCGAAGTTCAAAGTTCAATAATTATTCAACATTCATCATCGAAAACTAAAATTAGGGTAAGATACATTGGCATCATATTCATCAGAGTCGTCACCCTCCTTGACATATTGGTCGTCCTCCTTCGTCTCTTCTGAATCTGCCTCTTCTTCCTCCTCTTCCTCGAACCTTGTTCTTTGTGTAGAAGATCTAGTGACCCTATGAGGGTCAGCTGATGTCCCTGAAGCATCCATGATCATGTTCCATGTCAATCCTGCATACCCATCGACCTCATTATCATCAACTAACCACTCTATAGCGGTATCCATATTTTTTTATCTGATGTGATCTCTCTTATGTCTCTCAGCATACATGTCATTTAATAATCGATTGTACTTTACATAGACTAGGTCATCGAGCCTCTTTGATTCAAGCACGTTCAATTTCTTTGTATGAATATAACAAAATCAAATGAAACTAATTAAAATCTATTATATATGGTTCATGTATTATTTATAAAATTATACAAATTACCATTACACCTTTACCCCTTCAAAAGTACTCCAAATGTACACACAACCGGATGAAGAAGTGGTTAGGTTTCAGATCCAAATAACCACTTTTTATAAATTTGGACTACACCCATGTTAGTTCCACCAATGGCTGCAAAGATATAGAAAAAAATCATTAATAAATAATATAATTACTTGATTATTTGAACTTGATGAACTTAAGAATACTATTAATACCTAGATCAATTTTGGCCCCTTGCGTCATTGCCATTTGACTCCCAAAAGACTTTAATGAGCACTTGTAATTTATCTGCTCATTAGTGCATATAATACCTTGGATATTAGGATCAGGGACTAGCACATCTACACACTTATTAAATCCAATCATAATTGTGTCATTTATTTGTATATCCTTGTAATAACCAGTTGCATGCAATGACTGATATAGCTGCTTATCCCACTTTTCATCAATAATCTCCCAAACAGGCTTGTAGTAGGTTTCGTCATCATTGAAATTTTGGACTATCTCTCTTTTATATTTCTCCATAGCCTCATATATGCAGCTCATAGAAGACTTGTCAGTATCAACCATGCGAAGGACTTTGATAAGAGGAAAAAATACCTTAAGAGCACATTTCACCCCTCGTAAAAAAGTCTTTGAAAGGATAATATCTCTCACCTTCTTCCCAACCTGATCTAAACCACTTGCATGCTCTCCAGTCATCCAAGGTAAACATCTGCTTCAATTGCACTCTCCTCGAATGTATATTATCTAGGCATAAGTACCAGATCGTAAATCTCGTGACCCCAGGCCTCACACTCTCTTTCTTCTTTATAAAGTTACACATTATGTTGAGGGTGAGATGGTGGTTATAAATAAATTTTGTAACTAACTCAATCTTCTTCGCTACATCTAATATCTCAGTTAAACTGCCAAGAGCCTCAAGCATAAGGTCTATACAATGTGCTGCATATAGAGTCCAACAGATTCTAGGATAAGCTATGCGCTAGAAATTAGCTGCAATAACATTAGGAGTAGCATTGTCTGTGACAACCTATACAACAAGATGCTCCCAAACCTCATTTATTCCCTTATCTATAACTTGAAATATATAATAGGCATCATGGATATGATCAGAGGCATCAATAAACCTCAAAAAAATAGTCCCTGAATGATAATTCATAAGCAAATGCATCTGACTCCTTCTCTTCCTATCATTCCAAGCATCAGTCATATAGAAACCCCATACTGAGCCCATGCATCGTTCTTAACTTCTATAGCTTTTTTTGTGACACTCACCGCCTTTTTTAAAAAAAAGGCTTTGAAAGCTCATGTCACACCCCAAGAATTTACAATACTATTATTTCTGAGATGTGACGGACAAAACATATATACATCTATTGATAGGACAAATTTACAGTGACGAGGTCTTACAAAGTAC